GACTGTAGACAGGTTATCCTTTGCTTTATATCTAATATCCATTTATGAATGAGTACATACCATGTTTCTCTTTTTGGATCTGAGTTACCTCCCTCCATTCATTTGCCTGCAAATTTCAGGATGCCATTTTTTTGCAACTGAAAAGTACTCCATTGTATAAATATACCACATTTTCTTCGTGTATTTTTCAGATGAAAAACATCTAGGTTGCTTCCAGGTTGTGACTATTATGAATAATGCTGCTATGAATGTAGTTGAGCAAATGTCCTTGTGACATGAGTGTACATCCTTTGGATATATGCCCAAGAGCTGTATTCCTGGGTCTTGAGGTAGATTGATTGCCAGTTTTTCTGAGAAACTGCCATACTGATTTCCAAAGTGGCTGTACAAGTTTACAATTCCACTAGCAGTGGAGGAGTGTTCCCCTTACTCCACATCCTCTCCAGCATAAGCTGTCATCAGTGTTTTTGATCTTAGCCATTCTGACAGATGTAAGATAGTATCGCAGAGTTGTATTTGATTTGCATTTCCCTGAATGACTAAGGATGCTGAGAAATCTATTAAGTCTCTTTTAGCCTTTTGAGATTCTTCTGCTGAGAATTCTCTGTTTAGATCTGTATGCTTGAGATATCTCTTAGGGAAAGGGAAGTGGGAAGGGAGATACAGCCAAGTGTTTGACATCCAAAATAGGGAGTGTGTGTAAACTGTATCAGATCATTTCACCTTAGCATGTGTTCTCTAGAAGTAAACTCTGAGGCAACAGTTTGGTGCTACTGATTTCCTGTGAGGTATATCCCCAGAAAGTAAGGCATGAGATGACAAAGAAGGAGCCCTGGAAAACCACACACAGTAATATGCTGCTGAGCGGTCCAATGTTTACGGTGTATCGGGGCAGGCTGCTTAGGAGGTGTATTATGTACATGGCCATCTGCAGTCAGCAACATCAGATCATGTTTTGGAATTGTCAGTCAGAGCGAGGGAGATATCAGAGGTTATCTTCCCACTTTCTGTTCCACTGATCAAAGTTCACTCCATAGGAGACCAACCCCTTCAGGGTCTCATGGGGCTCCATTGACAGGTTGTGAGAGCAATATTGAATATTGTATCCCACAGTGTGGCTCTGCATCCAAATGCAGAAGTAGCCTTAGAATTCGTAAAGTCCAGATGCGAGGAAGCGAGGCCTGGATGTACAGTGGCGGCCAAGGAGAGGACCCAGTCCATCTGGGTAAGCAAAAGACTCCGACTTGGAGGAAGAAGAGTTGTGAGGACTCAGGTATGGTAACTGATCAGGGCGTGAGGAGTGGCCCTTTGAAGATACCAGTCAAAGTCAAATCTTAGTGAAAGCCAGTGGCTGAGCCCCAGGAAAGGCTCCTGGAGAATCTAGGGAAGTAATTAAGATATTTTAAATAAGTTTTCAGCCATACACATAGATCCCTGCTTGAAAACATAAGTAAGAGACAAAGAGGAGGGTCCTCAGCACCTTCTCTCAACATCCTCTATGCTGACACTGGATGCCATATAATATGAAATTAAATTATATGGGTTTTTAGCCATCCTAGGGTCTTTTGATTTGTTTTATAATATGAATAAGGAATAATATTTCATTACCTTGTTCTTTTAGGGTTTTACTTTGTAGATTTGCAAAGAAAAAAGACATAAGTGTAAACATGGATAGAGTTATTACAAATTGTGAGATAGGGGATTCTGAAAACTCACAGAGTTCAATTAACTCATAACTGCTGATGAGAAAAGTGAAAATCAAGAGGGAAAGTTGTCTTGGAAAAGGTCACACAACTAATTAGTAGGAACAGAGTCCTGCAACTAAGGAAATGGCTCTGGGCTCTTCATCTCTGACAAGTATTTTTGGAGTTCATGAATTTACATTACTGCTTTTTAAAAACTAATTTTGCGTTTTCATTTTTGAAAAGTGTTCCTTATGCCTAGGTCCCCTGGATAATCACTTACTTCCAAGCTCATCTATGATGAATTCTTCCCTTGTGAGGGTACACGGCCCAGGTGAGGGTGCACTTCACCCCACACCAATTAGTGCTAGATTCACAGGGCAGTAGACTACGCCACAAGGGCTCTGTCTTTGTACATATTTGTTCAAAAGCTTAAATGGAATGGAAAATTCTTTTTCCATACCTGATCCAAGCAGTTGATTGATTGATACATAGCAATGAAGCTGTGATACAAACTTTATCTTCAAGTTAACAAGACAGTTTGGCTAAGTCATAGCAAAATTGACATTTACAGCAGTATCATATTCCTGAGCAGAATTTTAGACAAATAAGATGTCTGAGTAACCACGGAGAAAAGCTCCCATCTTTTAACATTTATCACGCCCATGTCCAGCATATTAGTGTTCTCTATATTAAAACTAGACAGTCAAAATGCTGAAGCAGTACACATGGTTCTTCTTTGAGCATATTCAATACTGAAGTTTTAGTTAATGGAGAAGAAACATTTCTATAAATTTATCTTGTTTAAATGTTACTGGTGTCATAGTTTTTTTCTTTCTATTTTTTGTTTGTTTCTCAAGACAGAGTTTCTCTGTGTAACATCCTGGGTGTCCTAGAACTCGCCTTGAAGACCAGGTTATTCTCAAACTCATTGAGATCTGCCTGCCTCTGCCTCCCAAGTGCTGGCATAAAAGGTGTGTGCCACCACCACCCAGCAGTGGCTTTTAAATTTTAATTTGTGAAATGTTCTTGTTTTCTAAGAACAAGCAAAGCTTGCTTCTCTAATTTATATGTAGTTTAAAACATTGAAATATAAATTCTATATGGTACAAATGTCTGGCCATCTCCGAGGGCTATTGCTAACTGCACACTTTTCTCCAAGAATGTCTTTACTCAGCGACAGAGTTAGAGAGGAGAATACTTGGGTCTTCCATTTCAGAGGCCCAGGTTCTGACTCTGGCCATAACTCTGTGTGTGTGTGTATGTGTGTGTCTATTTAGGTCATGTAACCTCCCTGCTTCTCAGTTTTTCATTGGAATGTAGGAGATTGCAGGATACCTAAATACTAAATACCTATTGGAACAGGTAGATTAAGTAACATATGCCAGCTGTTTACCTACAGGCAGAGTTGGTGATGTTCAGCAATTGAGGGAATGTGTCCTTTATTCAAAATTATTGTATAGAATTAAATTTTAATTTGGCAGAACGCATAATCACACACGCACACACACACACACACACACACTAAATTACTAAATTGGCTCTGAAGGAATGGAAGCTGAATCATTACACAGCCTATGCAAAGTGGTCATGAGCTTGGAAGGGGATGTCCAGGAGGCTTGAGTGCACCCAGTGTTTTTCTGGGTATGACAATGCAGCATCCTGCATAAGACTAAAGGAAGGAAGGATCTGGGAAGTCCATGACAAAACTAACCTAGGAGCTGGAAAGTCCATGATAAAACTAACCTGGGGGCAGGGTAGGGAACAAAAAGAAACAAAGTGAATAAAAGACCCTTGTTGGTCCCAAATGTACCCAGTCAACATTCTGTCTGGATCACAATCCAAATTCAGTCATAGTGTTCTACTCCTGACCCAAGCCAGAGAGTTATTCACACGCAGTAAGACCAGGCAGTGTGGGCCAGGCACCGTGCCAGAGCTGGAGAGGTCTCTACAATCATTTTCATGTTCCTCCCTTCATTAGATATTACTTTTGAGTGATTGCTTTTCATTGATGTGATTTAACTTTCAGTTTAGCTCCAGGTGTTACTGAGAACCCAATTCTAATTAGAATTGGGTAAGGCGTTTGATATTGTGTGGGCCTTTTATTTTTATTTTTTTGAGGAGAATTAGCAATAGTATTTTGAATTGAATGTTGTATTGATGGAGTCTGTGAGGTTTCTGGTATCTATGGAATGTGTATTCCAGAATTGTGCAGATTAATTTCTAGCACTCTTAATAATAGAATTTAGCACATATCCTGTGTCTAGTCATAGTCAGAGTTAATGTTGTGCACAAATTAAAAGTAAATGTCAAACTTGAATTCAGTTTGTAAAATATCACAAGGGAGACATTTGAATTCAGTACAATCTTTGAAGACTTCAGATATTGTTATTATTATACTATTGTTTAAAAACACTTTACAACAAAGCAATGAATGATGGAGTGAGGAACGAGGAGTAGGAATCTGTCCTATACAAGTGCCCATCTCATTTATGATATATTGAGAACATTTACTTTAGCAATTGGCTATTTCTTAATTTTCATCACATTTTCTGGCATGTGTCACAGCATACAAGCAGGTGTTAGATGGCAATTTGTGGGAACTGGTTCTCTCCTTCCCCTCTATGGGCCCCAGAGTTGGAACTCAGATGCCCAAGCTTGGCATTTAGCATCTTATCAAACCCGCTTCCTGTTTTAAATGTTTTTCCTTTATTCCCATCCTCCCTGTCTTTCTCTCCCCCCTCTGGTTATTAGCCTGATGATCACTATATTATCTGCCTCCTCGAAACCTATTGATACTTTTATGATACTAGTGCAAGGTGTTTTACCTGTAAGAAAGGCACATGCAGCATGTCTTACGACATTATACAACTCTGGGAGAATACATTTGGATTTAGTGAGTGTACTGTAAGTATATTTTTTAAAATGTAAAATTTAACCTCTCCATAGTCAATGTTCTATGTGCTATTCAATGACATTTACTAATAGTATGAAGAGAATCACATAATGGCAACAGTGGCGTAGAAACTTTCCATAGTTGCTTTGGCCTGAATAGGTCTGTGAAATTCCACCAATTCACGAATACAGTGTCAGAGGCTGTAATAATTCAACTTCGCCTGAGTGTGTGTCTTACAGGAAATAAGCAATTAGCAGCTCTGTGGCAGCCAGAGCCTGCATTTTGTGGAGAAAGGCCTTTGATCTTCTTCTGCGTTCCCAGATGGTATTTCTATTGCGTTATCTGTCACAGGTCTCCAACAAACCCACGTCTGCTTGACATGGCGAAAATGCCACTTGCTAATTCAAAACATTTGTTTCTAGGTGCCAGGTTGACCTGTCGTCCCTCAGTAGGGAACAAACGCACAAGCTGGAGTTGCAGCTGGAAGAGGGCGAGGGCCACCTGGTTCTGCTTGTCACTCTGACAGCCTCGGCCGCAGTTGGTATCTCCGACCTCTCTGTCCATTCCCTGGAGGACCAGAAGGAGCGGGGGGAGATATTAAAGAGATATGTACGTATGCAGAGCTTCCTTCCAGCCCATGTGTGACAAGATGAGGTTTCCACAGGGTCCCCAGAAAAACAAGTGGTTTTCCAGGGGAGGTGTTTGAGGAGGAGACAGCGGGTCCATGTAGATGCCCTGCAGGGACATTAGCATTGCCTGCTGATGTCTGTAGCTTGTCATCTCCAGAATCCATTGCAGAGTATATTCTGGACTCTAAGGGTCTACCTTGTGACCTTTATCATATAGAGAATCCTTCCGTAAAGGAACTCACATGCACACCTCCCTTTATCATTAATCGCTGGCTCTGTGTAACTTCAAATGAGGTTATTGGCATACTGAGAAGTTGGGAACTAGAGGATATCGTGAAGTTTATTGTTCAGGAAAACCTAACTGCATCCGGTCAGTATGAAAGTCACCATGAAATGCAATCAAAAGGTAGTCAGTCCCCTTTATTCTGATTGAATTGGGGTGTGAGAGTGGAATGGAGTGACAATGAATCATTGCCCTTCTCAAATCTTATGTCCTTCACATAGTGAAATCTTCTGATCTCCCAGCAACTTTCTAGGTGTATTTCCCACCATGTAGTTGTCTTGAATCAACAGAGAGGGGAGCTCTTGCTCCACCATTGTCTCTCAATGGAGGCTTCGAAAAGTAAATGCTTTGGTACCCATGAAGCTAGGGGAAAGCTTTTCCACTTCAAATCACAAAGCTTGTATTGTACAATGCTGCCAGGTGTTTAGACGGCTCCTCTAGACACTCAGCCATGAAACCAAGCTCCGACTAACAAAGAATGGCTTTTAAAAACTATTCCTATTTGCTGACTGACATCCTTTCAATAACTGAATTTAATAAAGACGTACCTTATCAGGTTGTGCAGCTGACATGAAGTGCCCGTACGAATGCTCTACAATATTCTTCAAACAGATTAGCAGTATGTGTGCCTCAGCAAATCTATTCTGGCTATCTGCACTGAATCAGCTGTCCGTTAATGCTTGTACAACTCATCCACCAACAGTATTATCATAACAGTTTAATAGAGGTGACTTAGCAAGGCTAAATAATGTATATTTTTAAGCCACCTAAGAGCCTAAGTTACTGTATAGTATCTTCTAATATATTATTGCAATTATGAAAATTATTTCACATTTTGATGTTCCACCAAAAATACATTGTCTAGTACTAGAAATGAACTTTCTGAATTAAAACTGCCATAAAGGAATTAATTGGTATATTACCATAAAAATTCATCTGGGCATTAACATTCTGTAGTTACTGGATCACTATTTTAATATTATACCATGTATAAAGATGGCACTGCTGTCTACATAATTAGAATTAGTCCACATATTATTGATTGATTTGTTGTTGTTGTTGAATGGAGTCCCTTTAATCAGCTATTTCCATTCAGAGTGTAAATATTTGTTTCCAACCTTTTCCAAAATGCTAGTTATTTCAATGAAATGTAAAATGTTATGTTTGGCATCTCAGCTAATTCCCAGGATGTATTCCACCCAATGCATTTAAAGGTAAATCATGTTTAAAATATGCTTTTTTGTAACCCGGGATTTCAGGCACTGGTCTCCTTCTCCCTCTTGAGACACACTTGCTAAGAAGCTGTAACACAGGATAATGCATGTGCTATATTAGTGTTAACTCACAACAGTACAAAGACAAAGAACAACATCTTGGCACTATAATGTTTTTATAATCTGTGTATCATGAAATGAATGAATTTTGTGTGATGTCTAATATGCCTCTTGTTTTGATGAAACATGTAAAAGACATCACTGTTCAGCAAATTATTCCTGTATTTTCCTTTAAAATATGTGTGTGTGTGTGTGTGTGTGTGTGTGTGTGTGTGTGTGTGTGTGTTTAAACTTAAGAATTTGATTTGGTTTAGATTTGGTGCTGGTCAGGGTAGTGAAGTAATAAATTGCCCCACTCTGATATGAAACAGCCCTAGAGAATCTTGTCATTGCTCAGCACTGAGACCCCACAAATTAAACAGATATTCCTGAGTGAGCCACTGTTTGATCCCCACATTCTGAAAAGTTGGCTAATTCCACTTTCCTGTTCTTTTCTTTTTGGAGGGGGAGGGAACGGGAAGGTCAGTAGGGGCAGGTAGTAATGGGTAGGAGTCCAAGAGCTGCTGTTTGACCTTTTCAGAACGGGTTTGCTGAACCCCTGCTCCTTCTTGTCACAGTTTAAAAACCAGAGGAGCTAGTTTAGAGAAGAAGTTGTTAGCATTCCATTTTTATTATGACATTTCACAGTCATCTGATTTAATGTCCCTTGACCGGATTGTCCACCGTGAGACGATGGGCTTGAAATGTTATTTAGAGCGTTGATAAAAGGTGAGCGGTTCTAAGATGACAGCAAGTCATAAGGCTGGTGGTGTGACATTAATTTTCTCCATAACAGAGATGGAATAAGACGTCATGGTGACAAGCTGTCAATCAGCTCTGGCCCCTCAGAGCATCTCCATACCACAGGATGGGGTATTGCCTCTCCCGTAATAGAGCTGAACCGCGATGCTCTCTCTGACAGCTGCTGCAGCCATAGAGAAAATATATTATACAGCCTTTCATTAAAAAAATAAAGAGGAGTCCTCTCCGGAGCATTTCAATCTCTTTCCATCTACTGAGGCCTGAAAGGATTCTCAGCAAATCATGGATTCCTCTGCTATGGAAATTTCTGCCTTCAAAAGCCATCCAGGTTTTGAGGCATTCTAAAATAACCATAAATAACAACATGGGAACACTCCTTGATACAGCTTTTCATAAAATTACAGTTTTAAACTGGTATTTATTTGCTTTTACTTTGAGTTATTATTATAATCTATATGTCACTGGCCTAAACAGTAGAAATTCACAATCAATTGTCAAATGTCAGGTGGCTTGGAGAGTGAAACCTTCAAAATATAATCACCCTCCAAATGCGGAGCAGAGTCCCAGAACTGAAGGCCCAAGACAGTGTGACAGAGGATGTATGGTCAGCTTCCCAGGGCAAAATGTTCTGACTGATGATATTTGTTTTAGTCACAGTGAAACTCGGTTTAAATTACCCCTGAAAAAGTGACAGTGCTGGGCCCTGTCTTTAGGGAAGAATTCTTGCTGCTTTAACACATTTAGTAGCTCTGACTAAGGCCCACCCCAGATTTTTCAGTGCTGTAGGACACGGCATACCCAGAAGCCTCTTAACTTCGCTGCCTAAAGTTCCCACTGGTAAACCTTTGATTTGTAGGAATTTAGAAAGAGAGACAAGTGCATTTTTACTAAATCTAGTCAAATGGACCTTTAAAATAAATTTTTGGTGATAAATAGTAGTTTATGATTAGAGAGTAAGAGATAATCTTCCTTACTGAGCAGCGTTTTTACAAAGTCATGCTATGTATGAGATTACACATTTATCTGTGTCTATTCCTTTCTCTGTACCAAGGTCAAAGCTTCAGTGTAAATAATGACGGGCTATCAGGGCTGAGAAAGCTCGTATTCAAGAAGCGTTGGCTTGTGTGTGCTCTCACACTAGTAATACACTGGGAGATCGCTTTTATTCTAGCAACATTTTGATAAGTAACTTCTTATGCAGAAGCATATTAAAGTGCCTCATCGTGAAACCTTTTAAAGATGGTGAGAAATTAAGTGTCTTTGATTTACCCAATAGAGAAGCACTGGCCTTACCATAAGAAAAACAATATGAAAGATAAACAAAATTCATATCAATGCTCTAGAGTTGTGTTTTCTTTACCAACTCATTAGTTTTCAGTTAATTGTGTTGACTTTCCGCCTTTAGTTACTTCAAGTACTATGCTTAGTTAAACATCACAATCAATTTTAAATTTTCATCATCATGCTGTTCTATCAAAAACTCCAGTTAGTTCTATACACAATAGCAAATACAAATATAAACTTGAGAAAATTTCCTACCACCTTTGATTTATTTTATTAATTTGATTTGCCTTTTAAAATTATCTCCCTTAAAATTTTTATAAAACTGTACAAATCTTTCAATGAACTACTAGCGAAGCCTTTAGATCATTTACTCCTTATATAAGCATTAAGAATAAAATGGTAGAAAAATTGACTTTCTTAATAACTGTCCCTGTCTGAGGGGTGTTATGTAAACAATCACATAGAAGGTAATATTGCTCATTATCGTCTTCAAACTATCATATTTACAAATGAAAGATCTGTGAGGTCCTAAAATAGAAGATGCTGAGAGAAACCATGGAGACTCACCTGCTTTGTACTTCACTGCTCACCATTACTGAGTGTTACTTGTGGATAGTAACTGTGGTATTTTTATTTCAGAAAACCACTTACTAATAATCATGTGGTGTGTGTGTGTGTGTGTGCCATGCTCACGTGCCCATGCACGCAGGCATCTGTGTGTATTCCTGACGTTGGAAGTATCATTTGTATTGGAAAAGCACAAATGGCCCTTTGACCCTAAGAAAGCATCCTGAGAAAATTGAATGTTTTCTAAGAATGTTTTGAGGCTTCTTTACACTGCTTTTCCTAATGCTCATGTTTGGGTTTTCCAGAGCCCACTGAGGATATTTAACAACCTAAAAGATGTGGGATTTCTCCAGGTGAGAGTCATCAGGGCTGAAGGTTTGATGGCTGCTGACGTCACAGGTAGGAACTGATGCTGTTGTATAGATCAAAGGTGTGCCGAGTCTGCACAATGAAATAATCCAGCCCCACATTTCATCCCAGCAGGTCATTGAAGTCATGCATTTAAATGGAAAGATTCAAAGTTGATCTCATACATTTGATAATTCCCAGATGCCTACACAGCTCTATATTTTAAACAGTGTAATACACTAAAAATAAATAATAAAAGTCAAAATAACCTCTGAATCATTGCCCTCTCAAAGTTTACTCAATGAGTGGTGTCTGTGTGTCCAGGTACTTTCATTTTGGCACATGGAAGTGACAGAGAATCATTTTCTATCACTTATCAGCAGCTCTTGTAAGTCAAACACTCATGGAATATGTTGCCTCACTCACTGAAAAGTTCACAATGTAGTATTCAACATTGCATGGTTCATATTGGGTTGCTGCTGTCATTCCCTAGTTAACCAAATTCTTCAGCATACTACAAAAATAATCATGTATCTAAACTAGGTATATACACTTCTTTTCACTCAGAATATAGGCATGTAAAAACAGCAAAATGAGTCTTATGTCTTCCCTATCTTTAGTATGGCTGTTTATTCAACATATTAACAAATGAGAAGATGGTGTTTATATCATCAAGCTGCAAAGTTAATTATTTTGTTTGGAGCCATGACCATTCATTTGTCATTTAATTCCATAATGATTTGAGAGATGTTCATACCATCCATTGAATTATCTATCTAAAATTGGATGGCAAGATAGGACTGACTTGCCAGTTCTATGGAAATATCAACATGCTAGGAAATACTGGCTTATTATTTGTAGAAATAAGCATATCATTCAAAATGTTAAGCAAGATGGTTCTGATAAAGTTACAGACTTATTTGAATAAAATATTATCCTTTTCTTAACATTCAATGATCTACAGATCACTGTGCTCTTCTTTAATTCATCCAGCCAGTATTGAGAACAGATTAAAAGATAATTCCCTTCAAAATTAAATAGATGTTTGCTCCAAAATAGCAATATTTAAAATTTTCATATTTATATATCATCAAGTGAGGATAATATGTGGCAGGTATAAAAATGTTAGGGATTTATAATTTCTTTGGAAAGATAATCATTAACTCATTTGTAACTGAAGAAAATAGCACATATATATATATATATACATATATATATATATATATATATGGATACCCTAGAATAGTAGGACTAGGGGTAAAGGTAATCTTTCAATATGAACTGCCTTAGAATATGGTAGTTAAAAAAAACTTGTGAATGGTGAATTTCTTCATTTTCTTTCTTAAGGACTTGGTTTCTTGTATAATTATCAGTGAATTAATCTGTGCACAATTTCTTATGGAAAAAAATCACATACTTATTATTTCAAATGCTTAGCTACCTGCCATTATTCAAGCTGAATGCAATTGTATAAGTTTGTCTCCTCTTGGAAAGAAGCTGTCATCGATTTTAAAACTTCATGAATATGCAAACTAGGTTAACCTACTTGGCCTGTATGCCACTATGGAAGTTAAGGTACATGTTCTTTCAAAATTGGAAAAAATAGAGATATTTCTTTCCTAATGGTTCTATGTAAATCAATGTGACTAACAATAGCCTTTCTGCTGGAGATTCAGTGAGATATAATTTTTATTTGATAAAGTGAGCATTAATTTGGGGAATCCAGAACAACTGAATCTCAATTTTTCCCTTCAGTTTTATGGATATAAATCTAATGATTCCTCATTCTGTGCTGACCTTATAATCTAATGGGTTTGGAACTGAACAGGAGAGATGTTGAACTACGCAGGGACAAGTGAATAATTTTGTCTCTGACCTTGCTCACCCTTGGACTTTCTGTGGTTTTTATGACATTTGTGATGGTGGCAAAAATTACAGGCCGTGTGTTTAAGTCAGAAGTGTCTAAATATACTATTTATTTAAAAAGTAATACTACTTACGAAAGTATAAACAATTTAGGACATAAATAGACTCTTCACGTGACTGTCTTTTATTCATAGAACTTTGAAAAGTTGATGTCCATCTTAATGTGCAGCGAAAGTGAAAAGACAGGATGGACTAAGTGGTTCCTTCTGTCTTCAAGTCTTGAAATAAGAATACATCTAGAGCAGGTCTCAACCTGCCTATGCTGTGACCCTTCAATACATACAGTGCCTCATGTTGTGGTGACCCCAACCATAAAATTATTTTTGTTGCTACTTCATAACTATAGTTTTGCTACTCTTATGAATTGTAATGTAAATGTTTTTGGAGATAAAAGGTTGCCAAAGGGGTCATGACTCTCAGGTTGAGAACCACCGATCTAGACTCTTGTAGTCAGATAAAGGGGATTTGAAAATTATGAGTAATTCTCTATGCTGTTTTCTGACCTGGTACAGATGAAACTATAGTTAGAAGGCATTTAACTTCAGAATACTTCTTTTCTACAGAACTCTAACAAGATAAACTTACACTTAACCAACTTTCATATATTTCTGAAATGCTTTTAATCTTTACAACATAAGGTCACATAATGTAGCATGATTTTTAATTAATATTCCAACATTAAATGAGCACAGGAGAGATTCTGTAACTTTTAAGTAGCCATCAATCTTACTGCAGTTGCAAAGAATTTTTTCCTTTCAAAATGTAAAATTTTTCTTTTGTTACAACACATTCATTGGGAAACATTGTGATACTGTGTTAACTCTGTGTGAATAAAGAGCAATTGAAACTCTTTGAATGAATGAGTATAAAGCACAAATTACTTTTTAATGAAACCCTCAATTCTTTTCCTCGCCACAAAAAGCCTTTAGCCTTGTTCAGCTGAACACTACTACAGTAGGTCACTTCAGTTAAGCCCCTAATAAACTATTGATAGTCAAGGGTAGTTTTTTCTTCAGTCTCAATAGGCCAGTGTTGGACAGTGCACTTCAAATCATTAAGGTTAATACAGATTTTAAAAAGAGATTAACTCTGGTGGTTAAGGCCTCAATTTACAACTCCCACACATATGCACATATTGGGCACAGCACAAGAGTGGATTGAAATTTCAGTCAAATTGTGGACAGCCTTTCACAGCCTGAGAAAGTGGCACTAGGGTTGGAAGACTCGTTGCACTAAATTCTATCAAGAGAAAAAGTTTGAGTAACTGAAAAATACTTCTAAGTACAGCTTACTCACCTTTGACTACCCAATGAGAGGTTACTGCTTCTCGGCACAATCAAAGCCAAAGCTAGAGGCTCTTGTCCTGTTCTCTGGGAAAATTCTTTCCAACATGAGATCACATGTGCCCCAAAACTGGCAAGATTGTAAGAACAGAAAGGCCAACTGGGGTGTGTGTGTGTGTGTGTGTGTGTGTGTGTGTGTGTGTGTGTGTGTGAAATATTTCAGGTATTGTCTTTTTCTTTCCCATGTTTGTTCTTAAGCAGGGTTTAATTTCTGCTTGTAACAGAGCATTTAAAGTCTTCTGTATTGAGTGAGGATTTCTCAGCAGAGTATTTAAATCTGGAACATGAGTTCTCTCAAGTTCCAAAAGAAAGGAGAGAGTGCTCCTCTTCCTCAGCCCCTCCTCCCACTTCCCTCCAGTGCATGAGTCCTTAGCAGCCCATTTCTTAACATTTCCCCGGCTTGTGGTGGCTCCTAAGCCCTCATCCTCATTTCCTCAGGGTTGTGGAGGTTTTTGCTTGTTTCTTGTTTTTCCCTTGAGGAGGAGGTCATAACCTCTCCAGGGAGACCAGCCCCTCAGAATAGCAATATCCAAGACTGGGAAACCTTCAAAAGGTGTGCTGCCTTGCCACTGTATTAAAAAGTCCTATCCCAGGTGAACTGGTTTTGCCAGTGAATGTGGTATCTCATTCAGGAAGCAAGAGGGGGAGAAGAGAAGAGGGGTTTATGATTAATAATCACTGAAATTGTCCCATTAAAGGAACATTTCCCCCCAAACTAAACTATGAATAAAGACTTGTAGCATGTCAGCTCCGCAGTCTAGAAGCAACTAGTTATTAAAGAGAAATGTTTTCTGCACCCTTTATTTGCATAGACTTTCTACATGTTTTCCTTTTGGAAAACTGTCTTCATTGTTGGAAAATATTTAAGTAACAAAACAGCAGAAAAAGACATGCTACAGTTTTTTTTCCTATCAGCTTCTGTGATGAGAGTCTTATTATCTTACAAAATAACAGTGAGCAGCTCAGACTCATTAGCAGAGCTAAATTTAAGCCCCATTTGACAGGCTGCCTAGAAAACATTTTGTTTTGCTGTCTATGGGCTTTAATTAAGATGTGTTCAATTTCAGTCCTCTTCAGTCTAGCCCCCACCCCCAACTTGCTGTGTCACAGACCAGCGATCAGACACTTTTAGATGGTCCGGCCCATGACTTTGACCTTCTGAGCAGTCCTGCGTTCCCTGGGGAACCGTTCAACTCATGAGGTCTGATTTCACACTTCCAGGATGCCTCAGCGCTCTTAACAATGACAGGGAGACAAAGCCCTTTAGAGCAGGCCGCATGGGGACTTGTTTAAATTGGAAACCAGAGAGGAGTCAAGGAACAAGGTTAGGGGCTACAGAATAGTGCTTTCAATAAAGAGCTCACAGCTCTGGCTCGGCTCAAAGAGGTCTACCTCGGTACAATTAATTGAGCCATTTATCTGGAGCATCTTAGGCCTCTACTTTCTCACAGAACTGCGTGGTAAATATCAGCTAAGAAGCAAATGAGATATGCATGAAATGAATTTTAACACTTTGATTACTGTTCCTCCAGTCTTCATTAAAAATAAATTTATTTGTATTTCTGACCTCATTATCAGTAGGCTGCCTGAATTTTTATTGGTTCCTGTGATTTCCATCTTGCGTATGTCATGAAGATATATTTTATACAGAGATTGGGATTTATTATTCTTGATATTTTCCCTGAAGATTATGGGTCTATTCAGAAAAGGAAAATGAAAAGGCAGCTGTAGAGAAGAAAGCAAGTTGGTTCCTGGGAAGGATCATAGACAGTTGGAGAATAC